TGGTGGTGGTGGTGGTGGTGGTGGTGGTGGTGGTGGTGGTGGTGGTGGCGGTGCGGCGCGGTGGTGGCGGGCGGATGGGCGCGCGAGAAAAAGGCCCGCGCTGGGGCGAGAACACCATCCTGAACGACGGAGGCCAAACACCGATCCGAAAATGAGGCCCACGCTGCAGCGGGAGCACGATTCGGAACGATTCGGGAGCAGAAATGAGGCCGGCGCCTCAACGAGAGCAGCATTTTGGGAAAAAATGACGCCGGCGCCTCAGCGAGAGTCGTTTCCCGGGATTTCCCGGGCATCCTGTGTTAAAAAACAGTACGCGGAGGGTGCGCGGCCATCACCCTGACGCCATCAGGGAAAGAGGGAGAGTCTATTCATATTGAGTAATTGTGGAAGAGGAGGAGGAGGGGAGGGAGGAGGGAGGAGGAGAGGAGTGGATGAGGAGGGGAGAGAGGAGGAGGAGGAGGGAGGAGGAGGAGGAGGAGGAGGAGAGGAGGAGGAGGAGGAGGAGAGAGGAGGAGGAGGATTGAGGAGGAGGAGGAGGAGAGGGAGTGAGGGAGGGAGGGAGGAGAGGAGGAGGAGGAGGAGGAGGAGAGGAGGAGAAGGAAAAAGGAGGAGGAGGAGGAGGAGGAGAAGGAGGAGGAGGAGGAGGAGGAGGAGGAGGAGGAGGAGGAGGAGGAGGAGCGGCGTCACTTGTGGGGTTCCTGAAGCATGACCCTGGAGGAAATTTCGAGCAAAGGCTCCGTCCCTGGAATGGCACGCGAGGGCATCTCGACAGGAGGCTTCTCTCCCCGTGGGGGCCGCCAGAGCACGTCTATCAATCCGGACGTGTCGCTCAAGACCTGTAGCTGTCGTCGCTGTTGGGCTCGTGAAACATGATAGGGAAACGAGCTCTATACACCGACGCTTTTCCGACCCTGCGCTGAAGTTCGCACAAGAACGCGGATCCTGGTGTATACGGGATCCTGGTGTATACATGTTTCGTTGTTTCCCTTGGAAAACGGTGGAGAAGTATACACCACACCACCCCGACGTCGTCCCCGACCCTCAAAAAGTCGTAGGATTGAAAAAAACGCCACTGAAAATGTAGATGTTCCAGTTTCCGACATGAATCTGGACGTCTCTGGCGGGAGCCGTGTCTCTGAGTGAGTTGTGGGGACGTCTCGAGCGGGACCCCCCGCGGTGGGGCCACAAGCTCATGTGACGAATCCGAGCGGGCCGTCCAAAACTTGTAACCGTCGTCGCTGTTGGGTTTCAGAAGCATGGCTCTGGATGACGTTTCGGCCGGGGGTATCGTCTCTACGTGAATTGTGAGGTAGACTCGACCGGGAGTCCCCTCGCTATGGGGCCGCCAGCTCATGTTACCAATTCGAAAGGGTCAACCACCTGTTGTCACTTCTGGGCTCTGAAAGTATGACTCTGGAGGACGTGTCGAGCGGGAGTTTCGTCTCGATCGGGGGCAGGAAGGGGAGGCGGGAGAAAACGATGAGGCAAGAGGATAAAATAATACACGAGAAGCCTGGGAATCATCTAGGAGGCCCCAAAGGGCTTCAGGACGCCCCAAGAGGAGGCAGGAGACCCCTGGAGTAGGCAGCATGGGGCAAGGATACGGGATACGGATCCCCGAACGCGGTGCGGCCCCTGCGGGGGGCTGGGGAGAAGTGCGCCGTGGCGCGTGGGAGAACGCCCGCCTTCCCGGTCCTCCTCCCATCCCTTCTTAAACCACCTTCTTAAACCACCTTCTTAAAAGAAACCACTATTCTTGAACCACCTTCATGAAACCACCTTATTAATCGCGACCGTGTAGCTGACGGCGTGCGGTAAATGATGATGTGCGCTGCTTCCACCTGTCCCTGTTCTGGGCTTCGTCCTTCCAGAACAGCGAATATTCTCGCAAATCGTCCTCCCAGCGGAACCAGCGTGTGCGCCACGGTCTCCGTGGCCTCCCTCCCGCCAAGCTTCGCGTGGCGCACCACTCAGCGTCGCGCCACTCCACTGCCCTTTTGCACCACCTGTCTGCCGGCATTCTCGCAATGTGCCCCGCCCATCGCCATTTTGTAGCTAAGAACGTGTGTACCCAAGATTGCACCCCGCATTTACTAGCAGCATCGCGCGCAACGTGCGTGGCGCGAATAATCCAGGAAACCCACTGCTCTTGAGGCCGGCGCTTGATGCCCACAATTCTTCGAAGCATATCGTTCTGAGTTGACTGCAGGCATCTTTTCTCCTCCTCGGTAGGCAACCACGATTCGCAACACCAGAGGACGCTTTTCGATACGCAGGCATCGAACAGCCGAAGGCGCTTTCTCAACAGGCCGCGCCTTGGGTTCAGAAGCGGCCACAGCTGATGAAATTTTGCCCACCCAGCCTTGATGCGCGAGGAGATCTCCTTGATAGTGCGGCCAGCAAGGGTGAACTGCGCGCCGAGAATTTTAAAGCCGGTTGTAGCTGATACGACGGGAAATTCATGCCCACGCACTTCAAGATGTACTCGGTCATCGGCGCTGTTGTGCTGGATGAAACACTTATCTAAATTCAGCGACAGACCTCTCTTTGCCAGCTCCGTCATCGCGTCTCCAATCATCTGCTGCAGCGCGTCTGCTGATCGCGCCACCAAAGTCGTGTCATCTGCAAACATCACGTGGCTCAGCCTTCTGCTTCCGTCCTCCTGCGAGCCGATGATCGTTCCCAAATTCTTTGCGTCCCAGGCCTCGCGTAATTTCTGGAAGATGGTTCTTGTGGCACTGTTGAACAACAGTGGCGAGATCGGATCTCCCTGCCGGACTCCACGTTGAATTTCAAATTCTGCGCTCGTTGTGGATCCGTCCAGCTGGACATGCGCTTTGAGATTGCAATACAGTTGCCTGAGCGTGCGAACCGTGGCTGGGTCCGCCCCTGCCTCCTCCAGCGCCTCGAACACAGCAGAGCGCAGCACCTGGTCGAGAGCTTTTTCCAAATCTAGCGATGCCATCCAAACTTCCTCTCCCCACTCATCCGCCTTTTCTGAGACTGCCCGTAGAGTGTGTACCACGTCTGAACAACTGTAACCAGAACGGAACCCGGCTTGCTCGGGCTGGAGCTTCGATTCCAAAAGTGTCTTGGTTCTGGCCACAAGCACTGTTGAAAACGCCTTATACATAACCGGTAAGATGCTGATGGGTCTCTAATTCTTAGGAAGCATCGCGTCGCCCTTCTTGTACAGGACGATGATTTTGCTGGTCAGCCACCCGTTTGGCAAGACGTCTGTCCCCTGAAGGATTCTCGTGAACAGATTAGCCATTACTTCCAATAGCTTCCGGTGCCCGGTTTGTAGCATCTCAGCGACCACACCATCCGCAGCGCATGTTTTGCCCTTCTTCATGCGCTTCAGGACGGCCTCCAACTCCTGCGCTGTGATTGGCTCAGTCAGCAGCATCCCCGGCATCATCTCGGCCCAGGTTGGGTGTTCCGGGCTCCGCAGCATACAGGTTCGTGTAAAACTCCGCGAAGACATTGGCAATCTCTGCTGGCGACGAACGGATTTCCCCGTCGACCCCTTTCGCTGCCACAATCTTCTTTCGTTTTGTCGGGCCCCCCAAAATCTTGCCTAGTTCCTTGGTGGCACCATTTCGCTGCAGTAACTGCTCTAGTCTGGCTTCTCTTCTCTCATCGCGGATAGCAGATAAGCAACTCCGGATCTGTCTTGATAAGCGTTTGCGCTCCTCTGGAATAGTGCTTTGCTTACGCATCTCAATCAAACCGCGAAACTCTGTCTGTTTCTCCGTGGTCTGCTCTCCGGGGAGGGGCCGCATATCCAGGCCGGCGTCGCGAGCAGCTTCCACAATCGTTTTCTCCAAAACATCTAAAGATCTGGGAATAGTCACTGCAAGATTGTGTGACAATGCGGCATGATATGCAGATGGAACACTGGATTCGTCCAGTCTTGGTGTCCACCCTATCAAAGTTGCTGCATTCCTTGTTCGGTTCCTCTCTCTCTCGGGCGTTTGGCAGAATCTATCCGGAACTCTGCGCACAGGCAACGGTGATCAGATGAAAAATCGACGCCGTCACATATGTTGAAATGTTTAAGAGCTGGCAACATGGGTTTGTCGCACAACACATAATCGATCTGTCTTCTTTCTCCAGTCTCCCACCTCTGGTGGGTCCACCGCAAGTGATCGCGTTTCTGCCTGTGTGTGTTGGAAGCTACCAGTCGGTTCACATGCAGCCACTCTGCAAACAACTCCCCTCTTTGACATCTCTCTCCCAAGCCCCATTTGCCAATCACTTTGGGGTCGTCCAACTCATGCTGTGCACCCAGAACAGCATTCGCATCAATACCAACGAAGACACATTTACGATGCGTGTGGTCTGCCCGCACATGGCCTTCAAGATCTTTTAAGCATGCTAAATATTTCTCTTCCTCGTCCGCGCTATGTGGACAATGTGATGCTATGAATCTGCAGCTTCTTCCATGCATGTGGACGTCGAGGATCGTGGCGCGACCGCTCGGAGAGGAAAACTTTGTTTCGTTTCCCGCCCACCGGCCGTGCAGCAAAATCGATGTCCCTCTGTAGCAATCTCTGGCAGCAGCATTGTAGAACAAGTGCCCTCCTTGCAACTCGCTCAATGCATTTGTTGTCAGTTTGGGGCCCTCCTGCAACAACATCGCATCCCAGTCATTGCACTCAGCACGTAACATATACAACAAGTTGTCGATTGCATCGCCCCCCATGCCACAAGCATTCCACGACAATACTTTGATGACTCTATCCTCACCGTCCTCCGGCCCACCCCTGCTCTTCTCACATTCTCGCAGCTCCCCATTCTCACAAACGACGTCTTCAGCCTGTGGTCCCAAAGTGCCAGAGTTGGCAGGTCCTCTAAAGCACGCTGGGACGTCGCCGTCCACGTGTTTGTAAGCACCGGTGCCGCCACCGCTGCGGCGAGGCATGATGGATTCAAAATTGAACTTCTGAATTGTACTTGATCTTGTAATGGTACTGGGTGCGTTTGCCTCCGCACCCTTACTGTGGGAAGAGCCCTCGAAATATGCCGTGCCACTGGGCCGCGGTACCGAGGAGCTCCATTTTCCCATCCTTCCATACTGCTACTCGTTTGTCTTTCCACCACACGATACCCTTTTTGTAGTTGGTGTCGACCTCTTGTTTTGTTGTTTTCCCATCCCCCCCATTTGCTTCAATGATGGCCCGCACCACCTTCCGCACAGCCGTCTCCCTGCGTGCCTCTTCCGATTCTGGGTCCCTTGATCTCGAATCGACGTTACAATATATCGTCTTACCCTGAAACTGGTGGATGTGCTTGCCCGCATTCTTCGTCATGTAGTTCCACATGCCCTCGCTGGACCTAAACTTTGCTCCCCCTCTCTCCGCGAATTTTTCCCATAGGCGAACACCTCCTCCACCTCCTCTTTCACCTCTGCCAAGATCCCCTCCATGAATTCTACAATCTCCTTTGATTTGGTGTCCTCCAGGAAGGTCCCAAAGGTGATAGTGCACGCCTCCTAGTCGTCTTCCTGCTTGTCCTTCCCCTGAGACTTGGCTCGAAAATGTGACCCTCGTGCTGACCCCCCTCCTCCTCCTCCTGCGTGTCCTGGCGCCGTCTTTGACCTCCTGAACTCCTCCTGCAACTCCTCCAGGTTCTTCATCTTCACCCTCATCTCTCCCACCTCCTTGTGCACCTCCCTGATCTCCTCCTGCGCCTTCATCGCCATCACCTTCGCCTCATCAACCTCCTTCGTCAAAGTGCCGATTTGGTCCGCGGTATGCTGCATGAGAGCCTTCTGCATTGCCTCAGCCCATTCCGGCATGCCCTTCACCCGGGCGATCTGGAAATCATCGTTGTCCAATTTACGGCCTTTGTGATTGTCTGGACTGTTCATGGGATTCCGCTTCTCCTTATCCTTCTGCCCCGTGCCCGCCATTTCCAAGACAGAATGGTCAGAAGAAACTTGCCTTGCCAAGGTTTACTTGAGCCCAAACGTTTACTTGAGCATGGGACAGGACGAGGAGAAGGAGGAGGACGAGGGGGAGAGAAGACAACCAAAGACGGATGATGATTATGGTGATGATGATGATGATGATGTTGATGATGATGATGATGATGATGATGATGATGATGATGATGATGATGATGATGATGACGACGACTACGATGACGATGGTGGTGCTGATTTTTGTGTGCCTCAGGGCCAGCGACGCCGACGATTGCCAAGAGTGGGCCCTCGGACAGGACTGCTCTGTCAGCCCTGATGGCCGACTCCGTTTACAGGTGACGCAAACGGCGACGCACACTTCGCTTGACCTGGGAACCGACCGCAACATCATCCGAACTCTGAGGGGCTCCACTTTGGAAACTGCACGGTGCACAAAGAGCATAATCACAGTTGCTGCGCGTCCACATGGCATTATGAGGGTAAATGTCATGTCCGCCCCAATCGCAATCCCTTTGCGCCGAGATTGCGTCCATGGCCCCCCCACGGCAATGCTAACAAGAACCTCAGCTAAGTGCCTGCCTTTTTTCCGAACATCGTGAAGCTCATTGATGAGCCTCCTCAAAGAAGCGTTGTTGGTTCCACCCTCGAGGCCACTGCCGCAAAAATGGTTGGCAGCTTGGCGCCAGAGTTGGGCCGCCTGACTGTCTTCAAACTCAGAGAACATGTCGCACGCCTGATCCACGCCAACGAGCTGATCATTATGGAAGATCCACTCAAGGAGGACGAGGAGGAGGAGAAAAGGAGGAAGAGGGGGAGGAGGAGGAGGAAGAGGAGGAAGAGGGGAGGAGGAAGAGAAAAGAAGGAAGAGGGGGAGGAGGAGGAGGAGGAGGAGGAGGAGGAGGAGGAGGAGGAGGACGACGAGGAGGGAGGAGGCAGGCGCAGAGTGGGCCCGCGGCGAGCAGGGCCTCCTGGCGGCGAGCATAGGGGGGCAAGGGGGAGGAGGAGGAGGAGGAGGAAGACGAGGAGGAGGAGGAGGAGGAAGAGAAGGAGCAGGAGCAGGAGGAGGAGCAGGGGGAGGAGGAGGAGGAGGAAGACGAGAAGGAGGAGGAGGAGGAGGAGGAGGAGGAGGAGGAGAAAGACGAGGAGGAGGAGGAAGAGAAGGAGCAGGAGCAGGAGGAGGAGGAGCAGGGGGAGGGGGGACAGCTACTTGGAAGGAGGCTGCTTCTCAGGAGGCGCCGGCCCTCCATCTACAGTCGACACGATAAGGATGCAAGAGCCCTGGACGAACAGAGGGGGGAGGGGGGGAGGGGGAAGGGGGAGTAGAGGAAGAAACACTGACTTAAACATAAACTTGTCGCGCTCCGCGCGGATTGATTGGATCTGCGCTGGACCCCCCCCCCCCTCCCTGGCGCGCGGAGCGCGCCAGGGGCGGCGCTGGAGGCAACGCTTGGGGGTCACCAGCGCGGATCCAGGAAATCCACACGGAACGCCAAACATTTATGTTGATACCGTTTTTTCTTCTTCGGGGGGGAGATTCTTGGAGGGAGGCTGCTTCTCAGGAGGCGCCGGCCATACATCTACAGACAAGGCCAGTATCAGAAGAACGCACGATGAGGATGCAAGGGCCTTTAGACGCCCATTTCGAAGCTTTTCGAGCGGGGCGCGGCCAGCGGAAGTGGCCAAACATGTGCCGAGGGGGCAAGGATGCAAGGGTACCCTTGGGAAGGATGCCCATCCTTGTTATGCGGGTTGACTGCAAAGACATGGCCCGCGCCTTCAGCAGGGGTGTTTCAAAGAAGCCCCCCCCCTTCTCCCTACCCCCTTCTGCGCGTGGTCGGGTCTCCTGCTCCTCCTGAACTGCTCGGAGACGGTGGCAGCCAGCGGGTTGTCGCGGCAGTTGCTGCAGCGCTCTTTTCTTCAATTGGAGCGCGACGGCATCGACGACAACAACCGCTTCAGTGGCTGCGCAAGACAAAACCAGATGATTCATGGATGTCGTCTTTCGCTAAATCTTGAATCGAGGACAAGGCTGGTGCACCCCAAAAAGTGAGGAGAAGGAGGAGGAAGTGTTGCCTGAAGCAGGCGCTGGCCAGGCCGCGCAAAGTTGCTGTAACGTTTTTTTGTGCTGGGCGGGCCGCTCTCGGAACACAGATAAGCCGAAATCCCCCCGCACGCGTCTACCACGCCATCATCGTTGGCACAAGCTCATGGCCCCCTCAACCCAGACACGCGAGACCAAGACATCCAACATCCCTCGAAACCAAACTTCCCCAACGGTGGCACAGCACAAGAACGGAGTAATCCCGCAAACGCAGGCCGTGAAAGCCGGCCCCCCCCCCTAGGCCCAGACAAAGACCCGAATCCTGCAGGGCAGCCAAACAAAAATGCACCAGACGACCAAATCCGACTTTGCAGGAAGGGGTGCTGTTTCCACGACTCGTCAGTGTCTCGGGAGGCCCGACAAGCAACACAGCCCTGAGATCCAAGCGCTGGCGCGACCTTACGTGGGCAGCAACCCTTCGAATATCTTCGAGTATGGGAATCGACTACAGAACTGATTCACCCCCCAACGATTCCCTCGTCGAAATTACACTCAAAGCACGTATGGTTCTCCAATCAGAGCTTGCCTCTGCAGGGGTCCTAGCGGAATCACTCCCCAATCAGAGCTTGCCTTTGTAGGGGCCCTAGCGGATTCATATGGTTAGGCGAAGTTTGGCGCCAATGTCGGCGGCACGCCCGGGTGCCCGGGTGCCCAGGTGCCCAAGTGCCCGGGTGCCCTATAGCCTTACAGCCTTCTAGCCCTACAACCCCATAGCCTAAATAAGCCGACCCTGTCGGCGTGTGTGAGGGGCTTGTCCGTTCAAGTCGTCATCTCCGTCATTCGTTGGTCGTCGTCTCTGTCGTCCACTTTCCCTGCCTCCCCTTTTGCTTGGGCTCGTCGAAGCTCCCCCCCTTCCCCAGGGACCTCCTCAGCGCGCCACCCAATGCGAATTTGAGCAACGTTGCGATTGAGTCGAAAGGCAGCCCCTTTCCTTCGATCCCCCCCCCGCCGGGGGTGGGGGGATGGGGGGGCGGGTCCCGGAAGAGGGGGGGTCAGATACCCCTGGGAGTCCCGGAGCCCCAAAAAGCCCCAAGACGGGCCAGGAGTGCCCCAAGAGGCCCCAAAGACAGTCCAAGAGAACCCTGAATCGCTGAACGATCTGTCCACGACGTCTTGACGGCCTCCAGATTGCCCAAGAGGCCTGCAAAGCGCCCCAAGAGGCCTCCAGGAGTTTGACGGGGGTTGGGAGGCCCAACCAGCAGCTTCGCCTTAGGCGAAGCCCAGCTCCAGCTCTGCTGCATCGTAATGGCGAAAGGCCCAGTAGTAGGATGTCGTCGCGGGAGCGACGGGCCATCTCAAGCGAAGGACGTTTTCGGGCCATCTCAAGCGAAGTGTAGTCAGAATTGGGCGGCCGGCCGCTTGAGCACAAACTGCCGCGGACACGCGCTCGTCACCTCTCGCCTGTATCCCAGCTCGCTGTAGAGTCGGGGGGGGGGGGGGGGGGGGCGGCAGACGAAGCGTGAACCCGCCGCTTCTATACAGCAGGTGCAGCAGCTACTATGTACAAGAGGGCAGCAAAAGGGCGTGCGTTCAGACAGATCGCCAGCATCTCGCGGGCTTCCCCGCAAAGGGTCATCATCACCTAATTCCATGTTTGTCGGATTGCCAATAAACCGAAGAAAAAATCATCACATGTATTCCCCCCTCTGTTGCAGGAATAGTGGCTTCTGAATTCGCGGGTGTCGCCGCCATTTCGTCATCTCCTTCGGCGGGTACGTGGAAATTCTCGACAAATTCAATATCGGCAGGTTGCCCCGCGATGGGTATATCCTGCCGGCCTGCCAGATCGATCTCATTGTGGCCAGTGAATATATCCTCGAACAGCTCGTCGGCATAATTCTCGAGGGACATGCTGGCACTCAAATATCTGGCAGCCATGAAATTAACAACTGCAACTGAGCTGTCGGCAGGGTCGGCCAAAAGTGACCCCCAGTCAACATACTGCATGTCCGAGTCAGTTTGAGCCATATGCATCGACGGACCTCTGCCTCTCCCATCGCTCTGAGGGCATTCACGGCGGAAATGTTGAGTGTTATGGCAGATGCCGCACTCCATAGGTTTACCGTTCGCATCCTTCGGGTTGCCCCGGCGCCCCATACCCTTTCCTGATGCATGCCCGCGGTTCCTGCCTGCGCCTAGGAAAATATCTGCAGTTTGTGGCCCAGTAAAGGATGCTAGAAATGCTAACATGCCCCTGCCATGCAGCCGTCGCCGTTTACCTTTACCCTTGCCTCGACCCTTGCCCTTTCCCCAGAGTGCCCGTCGGATAGCGCGCCGTGCCTTGCGAACTGTTTTCTTCATCAATAATCGCCTCCACCTGCGGTTCTGTTTCTGGTATCCTGGGAATAACCATTGCGCCTGTTGTGCTTCCGTGAGGTAAGTGGGCATGTCGGTGTAGTCTAGGGCGGTGGCCTCGTCGTCCGAGGACGCGTCGGTGTCGGTCCCAGAGTCGAAGTCGGACTCGGCAGGTTGCCCCGCTGAGCCCATTCGGGCTGTGGTTTGCGCAGGGGCCACCGCGTCGGGCGGCCCCCGAAACCTGGCCCGGGAGTCTTGCGACCCCGAGGCCGAACCACCATTCTGAGTCAGTCGTGTGGTGGTCTCTGTTGGTTGCGGATCGTCATTCCAGACGTTATTAGCAGGTTGCCCCTAGCCTCCACGTGGAAGGCTTCGGTTCGGTGGCCGTGACTGAAGACGCCACCAATATTGCCACGGGTTCTCTCAGCAATGTGAGCATATGACCTCATGCGTTCAAGTAGAAGAGTCAAACTGTTGCTGGTCCTTCTGCATGTGGTGGTTTAGTGGTTGCAGGAGATGTTGTGCTCTCGACGCCCCCACTCCAAGGGCCCTGAATAAAATAACTGTTAGAATTTGGAAGTTGGGGATGTTA